GGTTAGGTATGATAATTATTATACCATTGTTTTTCATCAGTTGATAAAAAATATAACTCTTAGGTACGTACTTTTTCGTAGTTGTACCTTGTACGACTTAAACGTACTTTAGTAAAACAGTCGACAGATACAACACAGGTTGGGCGTCCCTTTAATTATTAATACTATATGAGCATAATTGGATTTTATAACACTTCAAATTACATAAAATCTAATACATAAAATCTAATACTCGTAGTTACAATATTACCTTAAATATCGTTGAAGATATGCTAAATATATGTAATGAAAACAAAAAAAAAATTTCAAAAATTTGCATTTTAAAACGATATTATAACTTTTTACAACAGTTATAAAAAGGCCAGCGCAATGGCAGTGAACAAATTGCCGTAACCATTTTCCCCTAAAAACGGGATACTGTTTTCCACCACTATACATTTTTTTCCAAAAAAATAAAAAAAATTATTATTGCCAATTTTCCTCCACTTTCCACTTTTCTTAGGAAAATTTGAAACCACCTTTTTCTTTGTGGAGCAAAACGTTTTTGGAGGAAAATGGAACCGCCTGAACAATTTGTGTCATATACACGCAGAATAGTTTTGTAATGTGAAAAATAATTTTCAATTATTTTTTTCTATTTTTTATTCTTAATTGAATTAATATCATTTTTGTTTAAATTCAAAATTAGGCGGCTTAATGATAATAAATCCATCAAAAATAATTGATAACATTTACCAACAATTATATTACATTATTGTCTTTACTAATATATAATATAACTACGATAATTAATTAATATATCTAACGAAAAAAAAGATGTAAATTTAAGATACCTGTTTTGAAATATTTACTAAAATACTCTAAACAGTTATAATTAAACACTGTCGTAATCGCGTATGTGACCTACATTTTATCAGTTTATCCAATCTAATTTCTATAGCTAATTACTAATTAGTATTTAGTAATTACGATTTATACGATAGCCGATAGGTAACGAACATTGAGTTTGAGTGTAAATATACGAGTCATATTATTATTTTTACATTGTTATATACATAATATATTAAAACATCATAATAATAATTTTAAAAAAACAGTTAGTATCACGAAAAAAATTGTAGCTACTCATTTTCATAAGCTCAGCAATAACCGTAAGCATATAGTGCGTATACACTAATACAGCCCTGATAGGTAAGGTACTGAAGTACATTACTATAAACTTGTATACCTATATATTATATACGTATATATATATATGTATACTATATAAGTACATAGTACGCGGTAAAACACAATTACGTACGATTTTTATCTGCAACTTTCAACTGCACTGTTGCCATTTGCTTTGAACTTATATAGAACAGGGCTGGCCAAACTTTTTTTGGTCACGATCTACTAAAAATATGCTTCACCTTTGAGGATTGACTTATTAATCAACTTATTGATCGACTATTATCGAAACATAGAGCGCGTGGCCCTAAAAATAAATTCTAATATGATCGACTTTGAAATTGTCCAAGATCGACCGGTCGATTGCGATCGACTGTTTGGCAGCCCAATTATTCTATAATATAGAACATACAATTTAAAATTAATTGAGATCCGATCGGTGATATTTGATAGGCGATAACGAAATCGGTTATTTTACTAGGATATTTTAGGATATTCGCAATATTATGTATACTGCAGTATACCTATCATTTAATAACTCAGTGAATAACCGTCGTTGGATTATTAACTTCCTCGCGTGTTTCGTGTTTTTCGAGTGAAATATTGAAAATAAGGTTAATTTTATAACTTCTGAAAAAGGTAAACCACTAGTTTTACTAAATCTGCATAAATATAGGTTTATTAGAGAAAGAAAGGACGGAATGAAAAAATGGTTGTGTACAAAAAAAATATGTTATGCGAGTATTTTGACAAATGGAGAGTATGTCCATGAAACAATTAATGAACACAACCACACTGAAAATTCAAAACAGAGTATTGAACGACAAGTATTACGGGAAGCTTGTAAAAGAAAATCAAATGATACTATTTGTGTAAGACCCATAAAAATAATTAGAACCGAACTTATGGGGAACAGTCACTCTGAAATCTAGCACAGAGATGTACGATCAATTCGAAAAGCAATGTACGATGAACGTCGAAAAAATTATCCCGCTTTTCCAAAATCACTAAATGAGTCAATTGAACAACTTAAAGCAATGGAAGATGACGATATAATACAATTTCAAGGTAAACAATTTGTTTTTATTTCCGACAATAAATCGTTTGTTTGTGTTACTACAGAACAGAATCTTTATTTTATGACAAGTACAAGTGAATTTTTCGCTGATGGTACTTTCAATTATGCTCCAAAATTTTTTGCCCAACTGTACACAATCAATGATTATAAAAATGGGTTTTATGTACCAGTGGCATACTTTTTATTACCAAATAAATCAAAAAAATTTACGCTGGCATGTGGTTGTTTTTACAAGAACTATGCGAAAAAATGGTTGAAATGGAAAATGCTGATTTAATTCGTATAAAAGAAGCGATGAAAGAATATAAAAAGTACAAAAAACATAAAAATATTATAACATATTTGTCAAAAATTTGTTATTTAAGTGGTACCAAGGTATAACATTTTTTATTGTATTATTTTAACATTATATTAATTTTAATTATTTTATTTTGTATACTATATTATAACATATTTGTCAAAAATTGAGATTTTAAGTGGTACCAAGGTATAACATTTTTTATTATATTATTTTAACATTTTATTAATTTTAATTATTTTATTTTGTATACTATATTTTAACATATTTGTCGAAAATTGAGATTTTTAAGTGGTACCATAACTTAAGTCATTTTTCCAATATTTAAATTTTACTGATCACAAATAAAAACATAAATTTGGCAACGTTGCACAGTAAATCGTACGCAATCGTTTGATTTTTGGGGTAAATATTAAAGTTAATGGTTTAACGTACGCAATCGTGTTAACTTACGCAATCGTGTTCTTAAAAAGATTCATCGCACGCAATCGTGTGGTACCCGACCAGCCCACTCTAATCTTTTCGACTTCAGGAAATCTTTTAAATTGGTTGTATTACACAGAGTGTATAAGTCGATGTTTTTTCTTCGCTCGTATTCACCAGTATTGGGGTTTAATATAGGCCCATATATTTTTCTAAATATTTTCCTTTCAAAAGTCAATAGTTTAATCTCGTCACCCTGCGTCGTGGACCATGTCTCACAAGTCACAATCGTATATAACAATGGGGCGTAAATAGGCTATGTATAGTTTTTTTTTGTCTCTTGACAGTAGTTTTGATGTAAATATTTTTCTCATTGCCTAGTATCCTCGGTTTGCTGCACTTACTCTGGACTTAATCTCGTTATGCATATTTTTTTTATGATTTATATTAGCACCTAAGTACTTAAAATTTTCAACTTGTTCAAAAGATAAATGATCAATGCTCACATTTTGTAACTGAGTTAGATGTCTACTCATTAGCATATACTTAGTCTTATTTTCATTTATTTTAAGTCCCATCTTTTTACTTGACAGAATGAGCTTTTGTACCGTCCCTTCTAATTCCATTTTCGATTCTCCAAATAGTACAATATCATCCGCATAAGCTAATAAAGTTGAGCGCCCCAGTATTTCCATTTCTCGGTCTTCTTGCATATCTCTTATGACTTTTTCAAGAGCTAGATTGAAAAGTGAGGGAGATAGCGCGTCCCCTTGTTTCAGTCCACATCTGACCTCAAACTCCTTTGATGTTTCTCCAAAGAAACGCACTTTACAAAATGTGTTAGAATTGCAACACTTTATTAAGCTAACCAATTTCTTTGGTATTCCGAAATGTATAAGTGCTGACCATAACCGGTCTCTAAAAATGCTATCATAAGCTTGCTGAAAATCAATGAAAATCATATGTAGGTCTTTGTCAAACTCATAGTACTTTTCCATCACCTGTCTAAGGGTGAATATATGATCAGTAGTGGACTTGCTTTTCATGAAACCATACTGGTATTCACCGATTATTTTTATTGAATATTTTAAATTTAAAAATATTCCATGATAAGTAGCTTCCTATTAGATAAAGTAAAAATATTATTTAGATAACGCTTATTTCGTAAATTACCCAGGTAATATATGTGTCAACACTACCCATTATATAGTATATACATATATATTTAATATTTATATTATTATTATATAATCATACTCCGATTTGTTAAGATACTATAAAAGTACATTTTTGCTGATGAAAATAAAAAACATATAATATCTGTATGCGCCTTGAATAGGGGCAACCCGAAGGACCACTCGGCGGGCGCCCGAGAACTGAATATGACTATTTTGGGCCAATGCCACCACTAGCGCCGACTATTTGGGTGGGTAGGCAACTACAGGTGCCTTCGCCTGAAAGTGTGTAAGGTAGGCAATTCTATGCACGACGACGACGATCAGGATGGGAGATCCCTACCAAAGGAATTAGGATGATGCAAGCTAATTATGGGGAGGGAGGTCTCTGTGGTCGATTCTGTCTGGTGCAATTACCACAGAGCTCACAAAAAACAGGGACAGTACTTAAAGCTATCTTAACTACTGAAGTCTTGTGCTGTGGTTGAACTGGACCGACGGTGACCTGTACGACCTGGGCGGCCTCTCACACAACGTTCGTTGCTGGCGGACTTACGCGGGTGTGGATATCGCAATGGGTGATATTGTCCAAAGTCACCCCTCAGAATAATAATAATATAAGAACGTGACTCACGGCTTATGGGATGGCAACGCCAAGAATTTATTTCAATAATAATACAGTCGAGTCTCGATAACTCGAACCTCGATAACCTCAATAACTCGAATTTTTTTTTGTCCCTAAGAAATTCCTATACACTCAATGCAATATTTGTCGCGATAAGTATATGAATCAAATAAAAAAGCGTGGATGACGAATGCATTGTTTGAAAAATGGCTGTCTAATTTTGATAAAAAAATGAGTTTAAAAAGGAAAAAAGTACTCCTCTTAATTGACAATTGTACTGCAGCTCATAATACAAAAAAGAAATTAAATTCTATTAAAGTAGAATTTCTTCTACCAAATACGACTTCACAACTTCAGCCAATGGACCAAGGTATAATACAGAACTTTAAAATATTATATCGTAAAGAAATTATTCGCAAAATGGTTAATGATATCGATAAAGGTAGATCTTTTTCTATAAACTTGTTACAAACTATGTGAATGTGTTATAAAGCATGGGAAAATGTCGAGAAAAATACAATTGTTAATTGTTTTATTAAATCTGGAATTTCAACTAAGGAAAAAGAAATCAAATATACTCATTTAGAAAGCGACAATGGAGGTTCCGATTGGAAACTTATAGTAGATCACTATAAATTTGAACCAGAAATTAAATTTCATACATTTACTGAAATAGACACTAAGATACATACCCTGGAGTATTAAGTGATCAAGACATTGTAGACGCAGTGCAACCGACTCTTAAATCCGACTCAGACGAAGATGAAGAGGATGAATATCCATTAGTTGTCTCTACAAAAGAAGCGAAAGTATCACTTGATAAATTAAGAGTATTCATTGAAAAAACCGAAGGTGCAGATGAAATACTTTTCAAGTACTTGGGGGTCATTGAAGACTTTATTTTAAAACAACCCAAACGTCAAACTCTTATTTCAAATTATTTTTCTAAAAAATTGTAAGAAATTTACATATTTTGTGTTTTAAAATGTAATCTTTCAATAAATTTTTAATTAATAAATAAGGAAATGAGTTTTAAAATTTAATTTTTTAATTTTAATTATAGTTTATAAATATACACATAATACTTCTAATAAAAACAAATTAAAAAAAAAAATAATGTCTAACTCGAATTTTTTGGTATTTTTAAAAAAATTCTAGTTTTGGAACTCGAAAAATACATAAGTCGAATTTATTTTTATGTCCCTTGACATTCGAGTTATCGAGACTCGACTGTAGTAGGTAGAACTGATGCCGTTATAATAACGGAGACAGGTATTATCGCAATAACAACACAAAATAATAATTTCTGGTCACATTGACCACACATTTGATTATACACTATTCATAATATTATAATAATTAGTTGTTGTGTGTATCAAACAACTAAAAAAGAAAAACACCGAAACAAAACAAAAGCGACAATAAAGTGTTTTACGCTACATTAGTGGAGAAGAGAAGATATATATGAACAATGATAATAATTTCACAACAAGGGCGTTGGCCATAAACATAATGATAAGTTAACATAGGAGACAAACAAAAACAATATAATAAGTCGTGTATGAGGCAGCGAGCTGATCGATAACTCACATTAAAACAACACAAAGAGATTAAATAAATATAACAATCATAATAATTCGCAATCAATGGTATGAGAGGTGTATGGATGAAGAGGGAACTAGTTGGAGTAGGTCGTCGTTGCCGTACAGAATTACACACCGCGATGCGCTAATAGCTTGGCGCGAACAATATCATTATTACTTTGCTATATTTACTTTACTTTTTATATACATTTGGTTTAATAACATTTTAACTATTTGGGCTTTACGATAATAACTCGTGTGAAAGTAAATAACTTTAATAAAAAATAATAATAAACAATCAATGTACAATTTTTTTTTTGTATGATTAATGGGTACTTTTTTCCTTATACATTTTTGGCGTCCATACTGCTACTGGTCTCATCTCTGAAACATTTTTTGTATTCACCTAGTGATTTATAATTGAATTCAAGGATAACACACCCATTATAACTACAAGGTAATCTTCGCAGTTTGATGTCTACTATACAGCAGAGTGAGTTCTCCAGTTTTGATGAAAAATGTTTTTGGTGACTAATTCTAAACATTGAATTTCATGGGTAGTAATAATGAGTCATTGATATAGCTACGAATTATTAGATGAGTATGTAAGCTCAATCGTTATTTAATTATTGGAGAAAAATAATAATTATCTGTTGACTGTCGACATTTATTTACAATTTGATTAGTTTCTTATTGTAATTTGATAAAATAAAACTGATTGTTGAATTAATATTGTAAATTAAATTAAATGTTAAATCTGATACTCTGTTAAATGTTAAATTTAGTTAGTGTTTAGATAATTCGTAATTCGTATTTATTATCTATATTATGAGCAAAAGTGATATCCAAAGGTTATATCAGCTATACGCCTATACGTGACCACGGGATGCTTTTAATGTGATATTCAGTATTCTATAATTTCGAAAAAAAAAATACTTTACTTGTTTAGTATATGAATTGTAATGTATGAAAACCGTGTTACATTGTTAGTGATGAAAAAGAGGCATTAAAAAGTTGAAATATGAATGCAAATATTCATGGATATTCGCATATAATAATATGAATGGAAAAGTCGTTGCCTATTGGAGGTTTATAATATGATAGTTATTATTCTATGTCAATAAAATATATTTTTAAATATTTGTGTAGATTTATACAAAAATATAGGAATAAATAAAACAAATAACAACAATTATAAAAATTTAATAAATTTAATTAGTATTTTAATTATTGGGAAGCGAAAAATATACTTATTGAGCACGGTAGGATTATTTTTAGAAGTACATTTAAGATACCTTTCCATTATTATGCCTATTAAAAATCAAATAACTGTAATAAGTCTTAAACATGTTAAGGAAGATGTCTTTCTTTAAAGTTTGATTTTACCCAATCAATATTACATTTAAAATGTAAAACCAGGGGATTAATTCTCTTTAAAAACGTTTATTATTACGAAAATACGAACGTATACAACCAATGATATATACTAGGGATGGCACAATGTCAATTGACCAGTCAATTGACCGGTCAGAATGTGGTCAATTGACCAGTCAATTGACCGGTCAGAATGTGGTCAATTGACCACAAAGATTTTGACCGGTCAAAATCCAGTCAAAATAAAAAAAAAACTTCCATGGTTATACTAAACATCGTTTTTAGACAAATCTGCTGTCCAATATTGAAATTTTGTACTAATAAACGTTATGTTGGTCACACTGATATTTCTGTAATTAGTTATCAAAATTATCGTCCATGGTGTTATCATATTATAATTATTATATTATCCCTCAAGATTTTGATATTTGTTAACGTGAAACGTNTTATATTATCCCTCAAGATTTTGATATTTGTTAACGTGAAACGTATTTTTTTTATGTTTTGTTTTTTAGATGATGTTTCTATGCAAGTAAATAAAAGTGAGAAAACAAATAACAATAACTCAAGCACTTTAATTGAAAAAGAATTGTACGAAGAACACAAATTAAATAAAATGAAACAAAGTTCGGTATCAACTTATATCGACCGTATGAATCAGAATGAACAAACCAATTTAACTTATTTATTTGCAAAGGCAGTCTATGCCAGTAATATTCCATTTCAAATTGTTGATAGTCCTTATTTAAAAAGTTTTTTTGATGCATTAAGGCCCACATTTAAATTACCTAGTCGTAAGCAGTTGGCTGGAAAACTTTTGGATAATGCTTGTACTGAAACCAGTAATCATATATCATCATGCATTAAAAACGCAAAATGTATTGCAATAGTTTCTGATGGGTGGAGCAATCAAAGAAATGAAGGTATCATAAACTATATGCTTACTACACCTCAACCTTTGTTCTACAAATTTGTAGCATGTGAAGAAAATAGACACACCAGTGACTATATTGCAATTGAATTTTGTACTGTCATTGAAGAAATTGGACCAGAAAAAGTCTATGGAATAACTACTGATAACGCAGCAAATATGAGGGCTGCATGGACAATTGTTAAGGAAAAATATCCTCATATCCAAACATACAGTTGTGCCTCTCATTCTATGCAATTGTTTGCCATGGATGTTGAAAAACAAAAAAAATATGCTACTCATTTAATCCAAGTTAAGAAAATAGTACAGTTTTTCAAAAACCGTCATGTCGCTGCTCATATTTTTAGTAAGTATCGCGAACAGTATGGGATTACTTCAACTCTATCAACATCTGTAGCTACACGTTGGGCTTCTAGTATTAAATCAATTCAGCAGTTACAGATAAACAAAAAAGCTCTTAAATCAAGTGTTGTTGATGAAGAAATTGCCTCTTCTATACCATCAAATCAACAAAATTTGTTTAAGCAAATAGTAAAATGGGTTCTGGATGAAGAAGTATTTTGGTTAAAAAATCAACATTTTATAAATTTGTTTTCACCAGTCTCCAATTCAATTACCAAAATGGAGTCTGATTCTTGTGAACTATCAGAAGTTTATAATGAGTTTATGAAAGTAAAAAAACATGTTGAGGAAAATAATTCATCTTCTTTAAGTCTAAGTCAAAATGAAAAATCCATAGTTGAATTAATTGAGCACCGTATAAATAAGGTAATTACACCTACACATCATGCATGCTATTTACTTGATCCAAGACACCAAGGAGAGAATTTAAAATCTGAAGAAGAAGACAATGCTATTGATTTAATTAAGTTGATCTGGAAACATTTAAATAATGTAGACATGGAGCTTAATAGTGAACAAGAAAGTAGTATTATATCAGACATTATTAATTTCAAAGCTAGAAGTGGTCCTTTTCAAAGTCGTTCATCATGGACAGCAATTAACTCTATAAAAAATAACTCTATTACAGCAGCAAATTGGTGGAAAGGTAATTTTAAAAACTAAAGTGTTCTAGCTGATGTTGCTGAAGTACTGCTAACATTACCAAGCTCTACAGCGTGTGCTGAACGTAATTGGTCTGTTTGGGGAAATATCCATTCAAAAAACCGTAATAAACTTAAAACATCTACAACTGGAAAATTAGCATCTGTTTACCATAACCTTAGATTGCTGAAAAATATGGAAATAGATACAGAGGACCCAGTTTTCATTTCTAATGAAATTGAAGACAATGTTAGTGAGAACATTGAGATTGATGTGCAAATTGATAGTACCTAATTAAGTTTTTTTAACTTAATGTAATTATGTAGATTGTAGATGACCATGACTTACTTGTTTTTAAATTTAAAGTTTATATATATGTATTTTATACTGTTATTAATTAGTAATTCCTATTGAAAGTTGAAATTTATGTTTATTTATTCAAAGATGTCAATATTTTATTTATTTTTTTTATTTTATTTTATAATTTATTTTAATTTTATAATGCATTATTAATAAAAACTAAAAAGTAAAGACTGATATTTTATTTATTTGTAAACAAAATTGTATGTATTCATTATTAAATAGGTGTAAAAATGTTTTTGTTGCTATTTGATGGTCTTAACTTTTAATAAACTTTTTCCATTTAAATACAACATTTGAATTAAGGACAGGAAAAAAAAAAGATTTTGACCGATTTTGACAATTTTGACGAGTCAAAATCTGGTCAATTGTCATTAAAAGATTTTGACCGGTCAAAAACCCATCCCTAATATATACTATATAGTTAATAATAAATAATAATGAATTATAAGTACTGTGAACACAGATATCTGCCCGCTTGACGCCGTCTTTTCTTTAGCTTCTAAAACAAAGATAAAATGTGTAAAAGAATTAAGAAAAAAATCATTTTATTTTCTACATGTGCCTTAATAATATAATGTAATATGGACATGTCCTTGATCTGGATTAAACTTTTGTATAAATGGTGAATATGTATATGGATATGTATATGTGTGGTCAACTCGGGTCTCGAGTATATTAAATACGTGTCGTTTTTATATTCTTCAGCTTTTCCAACACAATTAAAATGTATTTATGTAGGTATTGCCGCAAAAAATCATTTTTTTAAAACGTCTACAGGAAACGATTAATATAATTTTTCTTCTTTATAAAAGCCCCTTCGCGGGCAGTAACATAGGCTTAAGAATAATTTTATTGAGAGGAAAATAATATATTTTATTCACATTGTATCTGTGAATTAATGTTCACTGTGAGCGTATTTATTATTGTATCGACTGCAAGAGCTTGACTGACATGGGAGCCACACTGAAACATGAGAGCTATACTGACCTGAGAGTAGCACTGACACATCAACACATGAGAGCTAAACTGGCCTGACCTGAAAACAGGAATGAAACATGAGAGCTTAACTGACCTGGGAGCCATACTGAAACATGAGAACTATACTGACCTGAGAGTAAAGCTATATATATGTATAACTATTTTGTATTTAACATAGGGTGTTACCACTGGGCATCTTCCCTAATCTAATTACCCATATTATTTTTTTACTTGTCACTCACCAAACCTACTTATTGTATAAAAACCATGTATACATTGTAGATTTCTTCAAATAAAAAAAAAAAAAAACTATTTTGTATAGTAGACAAAATTTATAATAATCGTTCGGCCTGCTTGACATTCGTCAGCCGAACGAGGTTAGTCTCGTCTCATCACTTGCTCCGTGTATTGTTGCTGCTAGGTCATCGGTAAAGTAAAATATTTTATATTACATTTTAAAATATACGTTACATTATACTCGGTATAATTAGTTGTCTTGTCGAACATCCAAATCATATTTCCCCGTATGGTACTTGGTACTGAATACTGATCTATCACCACGGATATACAATTACACACCGTATACCAGTAGTGATAGACAATAATTTAATTGTTAACACGTAAGACGTAACACTAGTATGTGTATGAATTCAACCAATTTATGGGATGACTTTGAACAACTTCAACTTTAAAAAAGTTATTTAATTTAAATTAACATTAATTGGAATGTCTCTATTAGAATTGTAGACATGTCGAGATAAAATAATATTCTTCAGCAAACTTCTTTTGAGCTATTGTCCATACATGTTTGACTTTATTTTCGATTTATGTATACAAAAAATTATAAAAATATCGAATAATATTTGTCAATGTGTAGGTGTTTAAATACCCGTATATGTATGGTTTAACCACTGTAAATATTGGCTGTGGACTTATTTAATAAAAATTTTCTTTTGACCGTCATAATAAACACAATGACAAATGAATATATTGTATACGCTATATGGATGATTCAAGCCTCAAAACCAGTGCCAAATTGAGAAATAAAACTGGCCAGAGTTAACAATAAACATTTTCTCAACGCCCAATGATGAGTTATTTCAATATAACATATTAATAATATTGTGAATTAATATTTCTGTACGAATTCTAACATTGTAAACAAATGTTCTGCTACAAATTGTCAAAATGTTTCACTTATTATTGCAATAACATACTTTTGAGTTTTTGTAAATAATATATATCCTATAAATATTTCTTTTTACAACATTTTTTTTTCATATTAATAAAAAATAAGATAAATAACTGATATTACTAAAAACAATATTACATACATATAAACTAAAATCACATTTTTTAATTTAAATTTAAAATTATAAAAATGTCAGAATTAGAAATTCAAATATTTATGAAAAAAAATGTTCATATAATAATTGATATTTGTAATGCTGTAAGTATGCTAACTTATGAAGAACCTTATAATACATTTAGGCTATTTTTGCATTCCACTAATAATAACTTGAAAATAATCTTGTTATACATTTTCAATCTTTTTGAATTAAAAATCTTTATGATTCTATAGGAGAGAAAGGGGGCAAAGTACATAAGCATCCAGCTATATAGTAAGTATCGATTGTATGTTACCTATACTTTGTCATTGAGGAGTAAAACAACACTGTAATGTATAAGTTAAACTTGGATTCAATAATAGGTTGTTGCATAACATGAACCAAAAGACCAAAGACTTTCTGTTCACAAGTACTAATAAGCACATTTTTATCATACAACTATAATGCTATATTTTTATTCATATTATACACTTAAATGTAATATAAAAAGAAAAAAAATGCATATAAATATTGATAAAATAAATAAAAATGTTATGTTACACACAAATGCATATGAAAATTATTTTAGGTCACAATATTATTATTCACTAAAGTCATAATCTTTTAAAAATACTCCTGATTTCCGGATAGTCATTGAATTTATGGAAATTGTTCAAGAATCATTGTCTTTGGTTTGAGTTGACAAATCACATTTTTTTCTGTTTTCAATACTGAGATTCAACTGTGCCATGAAGTTATCACATCTTGTTTTAAGTTGACGGTGTTCCATATAAATCGGACCCAAAAACTTTTTACATGACTTGCTGATTTTCTGAAAGACAATACATTTTTATTTATTTATTTTCATCTTTATATGTCTGGGGGGGGGGGGAGACATTTTACAACATCTTAATAATCCTATGTTGGGTTTTAAGTTTATTTTTATTACCTTTTTTTCCATAGAACATAAGTACCTTGTGTGTTACAAAGCTAACTAATTACGAATATTAAAAAGGCAAAAAATAATCTCCATTTATTTTTTAGGTATATATATAGTATTATTTATGTAATATGTATAACAATTTAAAACGATTGCTAAGAGTTAAATTTTTCTATGCGCTTATATATATGGAGCTGAACTATCAATCTACAAACAATTTAATAAATAAATAAATTTAAAAAATAACTTGTTAAATTCTTTGATTGTGACTTTCAATAAATGATCGGAAAATTCTTGTTTTATTTCTCAAAAAATATTGATATTATTATTTTGTAGGTATTCATTTACAGAATAACTTTATCATAAATACATTATTTTATAAGCTGAACTATCATCAGTGTCCGCCTTACAAATTACAAATTTGCAAAAATAATCATTAATATTTTTATAATTTATATGTGGTACCAGGTAATGTATTTTTTTATTTTATAACATAAATTTTATCCTATAATATTGGTTTATATAAGTATACTGAATCATGCATGAAGATAAGTTTGCTATCCATATTTTATGTCAAAACAATATTGATAAAGTTTGCCATTAGGTGTTCAAAAGTTTTATTTTATTAAAATGCACATTTCATAATAAATGTCTGGAATAAATAAGCATAAATAATACCATGGAATCGCTGGAGATAAGAAGGAAGAGACTGGACCTGTGTTTTATTTTTAAATTACTCAATGGACAAGTTTACTGTCCACATTTAATTTCAAACTTAAGCTTTCTGGTTCCTAGTCGAAGTACTAGACAATTAAATACGTTCTATGTTTCATTACAATCTACTAACTATGGCAAAAACGCAATTATGAATCGATGTATGGAATTAGTTAATACATATAATGTTGATTTATTCTTGTGTACAACTGTTGATTTGTTTAAAATATATTTAAATAATTTATTAATATGTATTTGTCGAATCTAGTACCTAACAAAGATGTGTATTATCCTATTATTATATATTTTTATACTATAATTAGTCAACTACCTTAATATTATTATTATTTTTGTGTTTATTACCTATTAATTAGTATAATTCGTCTGTAGTATATAAGAAATTATTTTATAACAGTAAACTACATCGACCCTTTTTTTGTATATTTTTTATTGGGCATAAATAAATAAGTGTAATTTTCATTGAATAGGTGTTAGTAAATAGAAATGTTATTACACATTAATTGAGTCAATTAATTGACTCAATATTACAAGTCAAAGCATGTAAATTTATACACGTTAAAATATATTCATAATAATACTTGATATTAAAGAAGAATGGAAATAGAACATTTTGTAATCATTTTAGTCAAAACATACTCAGTAAAAAATGACCTGTCCTGAAAAATATATAAAAGAGTAATAATGCGTTTTTCCACAATTGATAAAAATTTTACAAAATATAATGTTTGTAGTTAATATTAACTAATGATGCAATAATTTAGGTATTAAAATATAGGCAAAAATGTGTACTGCACTATTTACAGTCAAAGCTGGGCTTTAACAAGTTGAAAAGTCCAAGTTAAGTTAGTTTTAACTAAATTACATAGTGAGTTACTTATTAGAAGAGTAACTTCTAACTCTAAGTAACTTCAGAGTTAATTTATTTTATTTTCATATTGAGTTATTTTTTTCATGAAACCACAGATTTAAAATAGGAATTATTTTGAAAAAAATAATTTTATAAAAAATTTTTAATAATAATAATAATAATTGGAAGCAACAGGTATTCTTTAAAGATACAATAAGTAATAAGTAGTAATGAATATAATATCGAGAAACACAGATTATATTATAAACATTATAAACATAGATGTCATAGAGGTAACAACTTCATTGAAAAAAGAAAAATATAACTATTCACTTTCACTTATTATTCCATACACATTTGTATACTCATTAATCTTAATTAATTTATAGTTATTACTTATTATATTTTTATTCATTTATTGTATTTAATTAATTTACTTATTCATAACTGAATCAAATAATATTTGATATTATATGTGTAGGTCATCAGTTATATTCTAATGATTGATTTCATAAGTATAATTTAGAAAGTAGTACACCATAAATAGGCACATAAAAATAATTATTTAGTAGGATTTTGTCGTTGATTAAAATACTTATAGTACTTCCGTCAATAAACATTGATACATACATTTATTTAAAACTGTAAGACCTTTTTTAAATTACTATGTTATTTATTAGCTTTAAAAAAAAGTAGAAATTTTTATTTTATAAGAAAAAAAGGACTGATTTTTAACAAGTCAGTTTTACTTTCTAGTGAACTTACAACTTTTACAAGTTTTAAAAAAAAGAAAATTAACTCTATCTTTTACCTTTACTAAATGAGTTGAAAAAATAGTTGCACATGCTACATTTCCTAACGTTGATATAATGTTATAGTGTGAACTTGGATAATCGATAGATTGTTTATATAAATTGTAAAATGTATTGTCTACGCTCTACACGCACACCAACCATCAATTATATGTATGTTTTAATGACTAATGACATTATTCTGAGTAACATTGTTTCTATCCAGATTACCAAATAATATAAATTTAATATGCATAATATTTTAAATTTTTAACGTAAAATTATCACAGAGTAAAATAACATAAGCAGGAATAAAAAATTAACTTTTAAGTCGTACAGTTGAATAGAAAAAAATCATAGAATTAAATTATAATTTACCCATTATTAAAATAGACATCAACATCAATGGTGACTGCTTACTGAAAGAAAATTAAGATATTCTTTTAATTGGAAAATTTCATCTCTAAGTAAGTTCCTTTGTTGCATTAGACTTTGGCATTCCATTCCTGATTTTTCATGATTATATTTTAAGTCAAACTGCTTGTTCTTAAATTCACCATTTGTCTAAATAAAAATATAAAAGTAGAAGTAAAAGTCTAAGTAAAATGCAAAAACATAAATTGAAAATCATATATTATATTTTATAGAAATAACAAACTTTTTCTTTTTTTAGACACTTCTCATATTCTTCTTTGAATTGACTGTTTGCTCCTTCGCGGTCAACTTTGTCGACTGGAATAACAATTTGAGATTTTAATCTTTCATTTTCAATTTTAAGGTTTTCCATTTCTTTTTCTATCTTCATACAGTAACTCGAAAATTCTAGTTGAATGCAATTGATCTGTGAAAAAAATAAAAAGTAATACTTTCATAAAAATACTATGAAAAAATAATTACTTGTTCTTCAAATTCAACATGTTCGTCAATTGAAGGCAATTTATTATCAGTTGTCTCTCCTAACATATCAATGTAGCTTTTAATCTTGACTTCTAGATTATTCAGTTTTTCATTACTAACTTTTTTCTCCTATATAAAAATTTAAATCTAATTTTTCAAAAAGAAAATAAACTATTATTTTACCTATACCTAAAATAAGGCAATTAGTTTTATAAACAAATACAGTTAATAACAATCCAAACAATTTAAATAAGAAGTACTAACCAATTCATTTAGTTTACGCTCTTCTTCTAATTTAAGTAAACAATATTCTTCAAACTCAAAGTATTCATTGCGCAAGGCATCCATAGTAAGTTTCAGGTCAGTATTTTCATCCTTCAACTGTTCAGCCTCATTAAGTGCTTTGTCTGCTATTTCACATACTTCATTGTACCTAGATTCCCAGAACTTTTCAATCTTTGCACACTTGTATTGGAGCTTCTGATTTTCTGATTTACACTGATTGTACATTTGCTTCAATTTTTCAACGCTGCCATTTGTCATTTCTATCAAAGTAGAACCCATAAATTCTGTTTCTATTGAATTTTCAAATTGTTTATTCAATGGCCTCTCAGTTGAATAAGTCATAAAACTATCTGGAGATTCAACAAAATTTCTTATTTCTAGTGACTCGTTTTGTTCATGATCTGATTTTGGCATTTGTTTCAAATGTTCCATACAGTCAATTAATTTATCTAAATCACATGATTCAATTTGTGACTGAAAAGGCAGAGTTGTTTTTATATTTTTTGCAAACATTGATGGTGTCTGAGGTGATTTGTGATCTGATTTTTGTGCATTTTCAACCTGTCAAACAAAATGAAAACAATTGTTCAATCATATAAATTCATAGTTTACTACATGTTTTACTTACTTTATTCCATGTATCAAAGTCAGAATCAGACGTTTCAAATGTATTTGCACAATCACTTCCACTTTCCTCAACAGACAATTTGGTAGTCAATTCTTTTACTTTGCAAAAGCAGTTGGCAGAGCAGTTAGGACTATTCTTTTCTTTTAAAAAATTACTGACGTGAATATCAAATGACCTACCAGTACCCATATTTTCTATCCTAAAAAATCACAAAACCAATATAAATAAATGCTCCATTTTATAACAGTTAAATCATAGGCGTGTCCAGACCTCATTCGCCGTTTATGCACAACTGTGGAATATCCAGGAGAGACAAAAACTACACCCCCTCCCTCGTCAATAGAAAAATTCTGTTAGGGTATTGGGGTTTAACCACCGAATTTAAAGATTTTAAATTAATTTTTTTAATTTAGATCAAATTTTGCAAGTCATGCCTGTGCAGTGTGCATGACAGGCAAGACCCGTGGACACGCCTTGAGTTAAATCTTAATGATATAACAATACACACATTTTAGTTGCTTTAAGCTCAATAACAGATTCATTGTTTTGCTCTCTAAGATACTTATTTTCATTTTTCAAACAATCAATTTTTTGCAAGAGATCAATAATTTGTGCATTTTTAGATTCCAGTTCTAGTTCCTATAGTTCAATAAAATACATCGAAAGGTTAACTTAAAAACTAGTTATTTTTTTAAAGAATACTCTTAATAATTATGAGTACTACTCAAATTATTGGTAGTGCCATTTAGATAAAACTTAGTTTCATTTAATACTTTAGGCTTAGCTTCAGGTGGGTTTAAATTATGTGCTTTCACATTTTGTCTGAAGAGCTAACAAGAGAAAATGATAAAATAAATACTTAAAATAATATTAAATGACGGATTACCTTAAGTCGTAACTGTGAGATTTCTTGAACTTGAAATTCTAGTGAAACATTTTTTTGTTTTATTTGATCTAATTGTTCATTTAATTGAGTATTTTCAATTTCTAATAAACTCCGTTGCTAAAATAATTATACATGTAAATTAATACTACTTAAAATTAAAAATTAATTGTCCATACCAATCTTACTTTTTTGTTGTTTAAAAGTTTAGATTGTAATTTTATTTCATTATTTTGTACTTGTAGTAGTTTATCTTTGAGCAAAATGTTTTGGTTATATAATTGACATTTTTCTGAACCCCATCGATTTATGAGGGTTTTTCGTTCTTCGTGTTTTAGTTCCAAAGCACTAAAAAATGTATAATTTCTCAATTAGAATTATTGTTTATAAATTACTTTAAATTATATGCTTACGCTATTTTGTACATAATTTTGTTTGATGAAGATTTTTGTAATGGCATATTATTTTCATCAACTTCTTGTGCAATCATTACTGCTTTATCGTAGTATTTTACACAGAATGTTTACCACCCTATAATCCAATTCATCCTTTTCATAACTACCAAAACTATGTTATACAATTATTTTTTAAGCGGTTTTAGTATAATTCTGTATACCTACAAATCATCACCAGTACTGTAAAAAACAACAAAACATTAAGTAAATATTTATTGTGAATATCAACATTCAATAATTTGCTCAGCAAGAATAACAAGATTTATGTTAGGTTCTTCACAACAGTACACCTACACTATCAATATTATAAAAAAAACAATGAATTACAATAAAAAATTGAAAGCGTCTTGTCATGAGTTAGATTATGAACATATTAAAATGTAATAATTTAGTTTTTTTCATCGGTATATCAACAAAGTTAAGGAATCTTTTCACATTATTATTAATACTAAGTCTACTCACCAATTAATAGGAGACGTGATATTGTGAACGTAGCCAATGTATACCTGGTGTTTATTTTAACTCCAACGATTATGAATTGCTTTAATAATAATCGAACAAAAAAAAAAAATATTTCTTTCCTCAACGATAACAACTATGATTATAATAATTTATAATGATCACACGAAAATACAAAATAGGTAATTATATTATTAGCTTATATCTCTCTTTCTTTTGTATGGTGATATGTGTGGTATAGTAAACATATGTTGGTCGGTAATTCTATCTGAAATATTGATATTTAATAGGTACATCACTATTTCTATGATAGTCTTTACTTAATTATAATATAGTACACATTATTCCCCTCTGCTTTTGCTGTTCTTTTTATTATTTACAGTTGTAATTTTAAGATAAATGATTTTAAATGTTATATTTATTTATATTATTATAACATTGTTATTATGAAATCATATTTAATTTTTATGGTTTAAAATTCTAATTTTTAGAATCAAATGTTTAAATATTACAAAAATAATGTTTTCATAAGCTACAACAGCTAATATGTGGCTAGATCTATGCTGGATGTTTGGACTTTTGGAGTTGAGGAGAAAACTTTAAATGTCGATGACAAGCAACAGTGACGGCCCGAACTTTTCGAGTCTTTGAAGCAAATTATACATTATTAATTTTTTTACCACCAACCATCCCTTTAATTACAACAAAATGATAATTAACTATGTTGAAGGTATGAAGCAATTGCTTCAAATAGTATTATATCCCGCCGCCACTGACAAGCAATTTGAGTGATCAAGTATTAATAGTTAATTGCGATATTGCAATTCAAAGAAGGTAAAAAAAGGATGATATTTTTGGATCTGTATTATGCACATTAAAAAAATATAGTCAAACAAAACTAAAAGTGAAATATGTATTACCGAATATTAAACCAAAAAATTAAAGTTTTTAGAACTCTCTCACCACTATATAGGTGTTCAGCAGAAGGATAATGCTTGGATTACTAACAACGCTCACAAGAAAAAACTTGTTTAGCAACCCGTTAAAGTCCAATTTCACACATATACACGAGTCACGAGTATGATAAACAGTTTTCACCCTCAGACCCTTGATTAAATTTACACTTACCCGCAGGAGTCGATATGAGTGATGTTGATGGAGTTGAACAAGTCAGAAGAGGTTTATGAGTCCGTTAGACATAATTATTGACAACCGGCCCTGAACGAAAAGAAACTACTGCTAGCAAAACTTTAACAGGTGTCAATATCTCTGCTGGTAACTATTTGGTATTCCAACTGTTAACGGGGTTATCAGCATAGAACAATCATCAGACATCAATATAAATACAAAATATTAAAAACGTATAATACGGTAGTAATAAATCGTTATGAAGACAAACAATAATATTATAATAACACAATAACAACTATTAAAAATCACAGATCTATAAATATTGTATATAGATGTGGTAAAACAATTTACAATGAAGCGTCGAAGCCGCCGCCAAGACGCCAAACGGCAGGGGCCACTCGACACTTATATGGTGGTGGATTGAGGGAGGGACAATTTTAATACAACGCAGATATCTAGTGCTGCCTATGGAAGAACAAATAAATCAGAAAATCAAGTATCCATGATAATAAAATAACGTTCTTTGTTATCGCGGTTCCGTGCGCGATGTAGATCACATTTCCATTCCAGCAGTGCGCATCGTGATAAAGAAAACAGTGTTTATGGCAGGGTGCCAGGGTGGGTGGTACTCGGAAAGACTGCAGAAGCCAGAAACCGAGCGTTGGTATGAGTTCACAACAAAGCTCAGAGTGCACTGTCTAGTTTCGGTTAAGCCTCAATAAAATATGTTTCATATTAATTTCATCAGTTTTTAAGATGTCATTTTTCTGTTCGTACGTTCACACAACATTCTAACCTCGTCTGTTCGTGGTACTTCCACTGTCACCCTACTAGCACGTCCGGGAAACGGACGCAGCCGAGACTCACGGCGTTTTACGAACCATCCTCATTTAACAATATCATCATACAAACATCGCTGCTATCAGCTCAGCCACGATGACGAACAAGCCACTCGGTGCCGTGTCCCGCACAAAGGAGCCCGTCAGGATCTTCGAGGGAATCGTCAAACAGGTACGTCGTTTCGACGCGGACACGCACTCAACGTTTTTCTGGGCCACTGTGAAATGTATTACTTACCCCACATGCCAGGTTAGGTGTGGGTTTCATGTGTGTAGCCACAGCCTTTCAGAAATGCGAACTTAACTTTACCATACCAGACGTCTTGTGTCATGTTTACCCTTGTCACTACCTTTGTCTTTTGTTGAACATCCAACCAATTTGTCTGCGACTTAAGTTCTGAAATTTGGGGTTAGCTGGTATTTGAAATATAACTGGTTTCTCTGTTTTCCTTAACATAAATTATTCCCAAGTACCTACTGGGTGTTTTCATCTATTGGCTTTATTTATGAAGCCCCGCCCAGACCAAAGGAAAATTTGTTGTCGACAATGTTTCCGATTTCACGTCATGAATGTTAGAAACATATATTGCCTACAAATGTTTTTAGGTCTGAACCAGGCTTTACAGTGAGGGTAAAGGGTATGTACTACAAACATAACAAAGTTTTATTTCAACACCTGATGAATGGGAATCTAGGTCGAGTTGATGAATAGCTAGATTTTATTGATATTTGAAAGCAATACATTTTATACTAGTGTTAAAAGAAGCATGGTTCTGTTAAATTTATATGAGGTACCTAGACAATTTCTATAGTGGATTTTTTTCACTTGGGATTTTCATTTTTTTCATTACCAACAAGTGTAACAAGTATGTAATAAAATACTGTTCAAAACACATTAAGTGTATACCTACTTTCAAGTGTTTTAATCCATTGAAACTCAAATAGGTATAAATGTAAATAAATTGTATTCTGCTTATTTTTAGGTGGGTATTATGAAACGAGTGTGAAGTTGGGGGACCAAAGAGCTAGGGGACTATTTTCTCTGACGACTAGTGATAACAGGCCTTGTATGCACGGTTGCGTTTTATTATATTCAAGGCACCCGACATTTGTATTACCGTCAACCACAAGATGGAGCCATATTATATCATTATGTGCCCGTTCTTCATAATATGCGTCGGACCAGCCCAGGGGACTTTTTTTCGTACGACCACAATACCAGCACCCATGCGCCAGGGGACTTTTTTTTTGTACTGCCGCGGGTGCGGTTTTTAATTTTTTTGACCGTGTTCCGGAAGTACCCATTTATTTTACTGATCATTACTTTTATGAGCCACCATAAATTGGTGGCTTCCAAAAATTGTTCTAATTGTGTTTGTTAAATATTATATTTAGTTATAATACTTACTCTCATATTACGACCACATAATAAATCGTGGTTACTTATAACGTCAGACGCTTCTCTTCTTGTTCGAGACTAGGGTTTTTTTAACTTTTATTTTCCGAAGTTTCGAATGTATATATTATTGCTTTATGATTTCAATAGTGTTTTATACCTACTTGCCATTACATTCTATAATTTTTCACTATACTTTGAAGAAGTTTGTCATTAAAATTATAATACAATAACTAAGAATGATCGTCGAATCGTGGGTTGCCGATGTGAGCCATCTATTGGTTTTAATTATTATTTTATTTTTGGTTAAAATTGTTTTATTTTATTTCGCTCGTTCGTCAGAGAAGCATCCATTCCACGAATTTCTGATTAATTTGTTTTATGTGGACGATCCTGTTTAGTGTTTAGTTTCTAAATCACCACATTTCACATGGGTCAAGTTTATATTAACAAATAAAAATGGTCCTGGTCCGGGTTGTCAATATTTAAAAAAACGGTTTTGGTCCGGGTTGGGTTTTTTTTAAATATAAAATCCGAACTGGGCTGGTCCGGGCTTTTAAAAAAATTATGAGCTTGGTGCAAATTGGTCTGGGTTGAAAAACATATTTTAGAAATTGGTCTGGTCCGGTTAAACATATTGTCTTAAATATTTGGTTAGGTCCGATCCCATTTTTATATGACCGGGCTGTCCTCTAGGCCCGTGCCGTGTATAATAAAAGTTTAAAACCACTGCTTTAATACAATATTATTTAGGCACAATTTATATTATTATTGTTGCCTTTTTTGATGGTGGGTGGCGGTCTAGTAAAGAATAAGTGTAACTCAGTATTCGAAGAAATGATTATTGAAGTATTCCAAAATCGAATTCAAATAAATTTCGAAAAAGGGGGACATGTAATGGATTGTGATAAAATTGAATACAATGATATAATATCATTGTATAAGAAAAACAATTACTAAGTACATTTAATGATATTATTGTGAATAAATAATATATTGTATAATATATATGTTACGGGCAAAAGTCAAAATCGCCCAAAACGCGAGCCCTAATAATAAATAATAATTAAAAGACATAAAGTATTTATTTATTGCATGCATGTGACATGTTCTACATTCAATAAAATAGTATTGCTTACTAGGTAATAGGTGATATTGTAATAAACTATACAAGAGTAGATAACTTAAAATAGTTTTCTGTTCTTTATATATTGTATATATTATGACATTGGCACCGGTCGTTATGAGCATGTGTTGGTTAGTGGCACGATCGCCCACCACTGGGTTGCATTCAAATATCACTGGAGGGCACTTGCAAGTTGCAGGTCAAAATTAAAATAATATAAAACA